TGTGAACCACCGACCTTGAGGTTAGCAGTCCAGTGTTTATCCTATAGCACCACACCAGGACCCAGTACTCCAACAAGATATTGTGATGATGGTGGTGGTGGTGGTGTGCCATGGAGTTGGTTTGAGATTAGTAGCCCAACTCGTAACCAGTATGCTACCAGAGCTCCATAACAAGATACTACCAAGCCTCATTCTTTTGGAATCTGTGCCTTGTGGTCAACAGTGTGCCTATTCTCTCAACAGACAAGTAATTCACTATTCTATTTTTCAATCATTCATTTAACAAATATCCACAGAACACCTAGCATTTCCAAGGACTGTGTAGCTATTTGAGTTTTCAGAAGGTAACGCAAATTTTTAAAAATAAATCAATGTTTACATATGATCATTTTATTCTTAGTATATAGGCTTCTTGTTGTTAAGTGCCATCAAGTCGGTTTCGACCCATAGTGACCCTGTATAGGGTTTCCAAGGAGCATCTAGTGAGTTTGAACCAGCGACCATGTGGTTCAAACTGACTTTGCGGTCCAGCACATTAGCCCACAGTACCACACCAGGACTCCAGTGTAGAGGTGATAGAAGGAAAAAAACGTTATCCATAATGTACAATTCCATTGCTATTTAGCATTAATGGGGCTAGAATATTCCAATGAACTGTTTCTTCAGGACCAAGAGCAGGTTCTTAAGCATCAGAAAGATCAGGACATTTTTGTTCTGTAGTATGGAGCCATTAGCACCTCTGCAGAGAATCACCACCCACAAATGAGCTGGTTACTGACAAGAACCTCATATCCTGAGAGTACCTTCTCACTAGTGACAATGAGAAGGGACTTGTTTAAAGACTTGAGGTATATATATGCACATATTTTAAAAACTTCTGTGAACTGAGTGAAAATTTACAGACAAGATCATCAGTTTTACATTCATCAAATCATGTACTTTGTTTCATCTCAGTGACTGCACTCCCCTCCAGGGAACAGCAATTGTCCCTCTTCCTCCTTGTGGGTCCTGTTTCTATTCCACCTTCCTTCTCATCTTTAAGACTTCTTGTTGTGATGTGCCGTGGAGTGGGTGCTGACTCATAGTGACCCTGTACAGGGTTTCCAAGGATGTAAATCTTTATGGGAACAGAAAGCCTCATCCTTCTCCACGCGGAATAGCTGGTAGTTTAGAACTGCTGACCTTGAGATAAGCAGCCCGATTCGTAACCATGACACTACCAGAGCTCCTTCTTTAAGACTTGAGATGTATTAAGTCTTAAGGACATTTTTAAATAATAAAAGAAGACTGTATCATCTAGCAAATAAAATATTAATGGTAAAAATGCGTTTTCTACATAATCATTGTGAAATAAGGTTATCGATGTCAAATACAATTTGCATTTCTTCATTTGCTTTTGTCCATGTCTTCATGACCAACTCTTCATTCTTCCTTCAAAAATGTTATGTGCCACACCTAAGGCAATGAGAAATTCGGAAATACCATGGTAAAAGACTTGAACATTCATCTACAGCTACCTATAGGATATTAGTTTTGGTTCCACTTATAGTATGCAGTTTGGACCTAATGTCTTTTCATAGCCATCCTTTGACAAATTTCTGGAAAACATCTATCGTGATGACTTTTCTAAATCTGTACAACTCAGGCTTTGTTGCATCTTGAAGAGCCTTCAGGTTCCACTATGGCAGACCTTGCTGCATGCCCTCCTCATTCGGCAGGTGCACGGCTCAGTGCAGGAGCTCTCCTGAGGTTTGAATGGCTTGGGTTCAGGGCCACATCATGACTTCCATAGGTCCTGGTACTTTCGCCTTTATGTTGCTCCAGAGTTTGCATTTGATGTCCTGGAGTGATTGAGTCCAGTTGACAAACACCGCAAATAAACAAAGAAAGAGAAAACCCCTTACTGTTAGGAAGCTGGCTCACTGGACACCCGCAGCAAAGAGACTAGTTTTCAGTGGTGTCCAATACTTTTTTGACTGGCAATATTTATATCTGGTTTTTAACAATGCTAATCAGCATGCAAGGAAATCTGGTAGCTTAGTGTTTACAAGTTGGGCTGCCAACCTCAAGGTCAGCAGTTCGAAACTACCAGCGTTTCCACGGGATAAAGATGAGGCTTTTACTCCTGTAAAGATTTACAGCCTCGGAACCCCTATACAAAGTCACTAGAGTTGAACTGCCACACCACCACCAATCAGCATTCAGGTGGGCTACAATCTCATCACTCCAGCATTCACACCGATTCACTGGGTAATTGGAGATCTTGGTAAGCATATCAAAAGGGTTAACTCTCCAGATGCTTCTCTGGGTGGTTACTCTTTTTCAGAAGCCACCTACCAGGCTTAGAGCCTAGGCAACCATCAGTACTCTAAAAGTATATATCTAAGAAGCAAGTCTTGGTGTGGCACTGTGGGTTAATGCACTGGACTGCAAGGTCTGTTTGCACTTAGCAAAAATAACAAAATGTTTCCATGAATTCCCAAAAGCATTGTGAGCCTTGGGACTGGACCTGCCGGGCCTGCTGGAGAAGTTAGTTTTGTGAAGTTAATTAGCTAATGATTACTTAATAACTGGAGGAAATAGTCATGGTGCAATTGAACACCAGCAATCAAATCTGTGTATGTAGCATGGTCCTAGTTTTGTTCCTGAATCCTTACAGCTGTCACTGGCAGGAACTGCTCTCAATTTATTAGCAGTTCAGTGGATAATGAGATTATGGGTGACTTTTCTCCCTAATTATCAAAAACTTGTAATATAAACACATGTAACTGTGGGAACAAGGACTGAATTCGGTCTTTGTGATTTTTGGAAGATAGCTCTTGGAATTTCCGTAGCACTTGAGATGCCTTATGATGTAAAATCTCTGGCTAATACTGAAATGTTTGCAAATGACTTGGGAGCCTCAAATATTACATCTGACAACCCACCTCAGGGTGGGATGGGGACACGATACAATAAGTAATGTACATTCATTGGTCAGTCAGTCATGACTATGCTTTGAGGCCCCAAGCCACTATGCAGTGTTATAAAAGGCCCTGAACACACATGTGGTTTGGCTTTCTGGACCTGTGGAAACTCCACACTTTGGAGAAAGTAGCGTGTCAATGAGACAGTGGAGGCCCTGTGCCAAGGCCCCTACCAAACCTCTCCTGGTGCGTCTCTCAGTTTTTATCCTTTCTGGTTATGATAAAGTTTGAGTATGTATGATAGTAAACCCCCTGCCATCATGCTGACTTATAGCAACCCTATATAGTGTTTCCAAGACAGAAAATCTCTACTGGAGTAAACAGTCTCCTCTTTCATCCTTGCGGCAGTTGGTGGGCTCAAACTGCAGACCTTGTGGCGATCAGCCCAGTGCCTAACCCACAGCACCACCAAGGCTCCTTAAGTACAGCAATGTTGCTGTTGTTAAGTGCCATGGAGTTGGTTCTGACTCATGGAGACGCATATAGAGTTCCCGAGGAGCGGCTGGTGAGCCTGAACTGCTGAATTTGCAGTTTAAACTGACCTTACAGTCCAGCGCATTAATCCACAGCACCACACCAGGATTCCAAGAATAGTAATAGTGTCCATGAGTTCTATGAGCTGTTCTAGAGAATTCTTGACACTCACTGGGGTGATGAGCCAGCAGGGGCGTGAGTCTACTTTTTTGGCATTGGATGGACAGAGTCTTTCTAACTTGTGAACTCTGGTGGCTAACTCGAAGAAGGGTTGTGTAGGCAGTTGATCAGAAGAACAGTTCCCATTTGTATGTTTCAACCTGGCTCAGGGTGGTTCGGGATGAGACAGGGCCTGCTGGTTAGGGTAATGAAGGCAGTGGGGATGAGGGCCGGAGCCATTTCCACATGGGATTTGGACTCATGCTGACCCTTAACCTCACAGTTAGCAGTGAAGGTGCAGTTTGTCCAGTCAATGCAGTAACTTCAGAGAAAATTAAATTTATGCCTACAAGCCTATTTTATAAAGGGCAGTTATTAAAGCAAGGCTGATCTTTATAGACTTAAGTTTGCATGTGGTTTACGAAGCTTAGATTATGGGAACATCTGGAGGCTCAGCATGTATATACCATGTAGAGGACGAGGACACTCAACTTGGCCATTGACCAGCTGTGTGACCACACCTCAACTCATTGGCTTCCTTCATGTTCATCTCTGAAAGTGGAAAGAAGGGAAGCTAACACTTATTGGGCATTGTTCATGTGCTAGCAATACTTCCTGTTGTTGTAGCTAAGTACCGTCAAGTTGGTTTGTACTTCTATTGAGTTTTCTTCTATATAAGGTTTCCAAGGAGCAACTTGTGAGTTTGAACCGCTGACCTTGTGTTCAAAGTTAATCCTCTGCATTATCCTCTGAGGTACTATTAGCCTCATTTTTTTCTGATGAAGAAGTTGAGGCTCAGAGAGGTTAAGTAACTTGGGTCAGGTCACAGAGCAAGTTAGAAGGGGAGCTGGGATATGAGCGATCCATGTCCTTGGGCCTAGCCATGTTCTTGTTAGCACTCCTCACTAGACAAGGAGATCCCCCTCCATGACTGTTGTACAGTATTTTTATAAATTTAGAAAGTTATAAATAAGATTTACAGAATGACCCCACCAACTTTTCCACAGCCCCGATACGTGTGTATGGGAAGCACTTGTTACTGTTGTTAGTTTTTTCCAGTCAGTTGTGACTCATAGCAAACCTGCCTAGGGTTTCCGAGGCTATCGATCTTTGCTGGAGCAGAAAGCCTCATCTCTCTCCCTCAGAGCAGCTGACCTTGTTGTTTGCGGTCAAGTTCGAATCTTCTAGACCCATCACACTATACACACATCTCACCAGGACTGGGAGTAATTCCCTTTCTACTTTTGCACAGTGCCTGCATTGAGTTGGGATCTATCTAGTCATGGATTGATTGTTTCAGCAAATATGAATTGTGAAGCAGTTGCCTGGCTGTGATTCCTTGCGTTAGTGGAGAAAACAAGCTTCCATAGTCATGTTTGTCTCCTGTCTCTGAATTATTAGGATGTCAGCACCTGTATTCCTAAGCAAGAAAAACTTGTAAGTCTAGCTGGAGACAGCCTTTGCTGGAGTGAGGAGGACGTTGTCCAGGCAACTAATGACTTCAATCAAAACCACAAAATCCGGGAGGGTACCTTTGCTGTCATCTACAAAGGGCAAAGGCATGGCACACCATTCGTCTTCAAGAAGCTCAACGAGGCAAGCGCTTCTTAATTTCTAGTGAGGGATGGAGGTTGCCCGTTGAGGCTGGATGTTCATGATCCCATTGTCTTTTTCCACAGGTGGTCTGCTCAAGCCCAGGATCAATCGAAAGATTCTTTCAGATGGAGGTTCAGGTTTGTCTTAGGTAAGGCTTCCTTTGGAAAATACTTGCTGTGATATTTGAGCCCTGGTGTGGTGCTGTAGGATAAACGCTGGACTGCTAAACACAAGTTTGGCAGTTCAAACCTGCCAGCCACTCTTGGAAACCCTATATAGGGTCACTATGCATCAGAATCAACTGGGTAGAACAACAACAACAACAACAATACATGTAAAATTCTTGAAACATGCCTGGTGCATAGAAAACACTAAATAAGGGTGGTTGTTGTGGTTAAGTGCTGTTGAGTCAGTTCCAACTCATAGTATAGGGTTTCTGAGGCTTTAAATCTTTGCAGGAACAGGAAGGCCTCATCTTTCTCCTGTGGAGTGACTGGCAGGCTTCAATTGTGGACTTTGTGGTTCACAGTCCAGTGCTTGTTATATGGAGTCTCCGGGCTCCCGTTACATATATAAGCTTATTTAATTTTCATAATAACACTGTAATGTAACTGTTATTATTACATTACTTTTCAGAGAAGTACAATGAGGCACAGAGAGGTTAAGACCTTGATCTTGTCCAAGGTCACACAGCTAGTGAGTGGTAGAGTTGGGACTTAAACTCCAGAATCCATGCTTTTTTATGTAGCTACTATATGTATATATTACAATGATAACCTAACTCCTTCCTCCCAAGGAGGAAGAAATGTGCTTTTATGTCATTTTTAGAGATGGGGCAGGGATTGACGGAGTCTAACTGTGTATAGCTCTGTGGAACAGGGGTCAGCAAACCAGCCTTCTAGCTACATTCTGCTGCTGCCTCTTTGTACCACCTGCAAGCTAAGAATAGTCTTTACTTTTTTTCTTTTTAGTGCTTGAAAAGAATAACATTATTTTGTGACACGTGAAAATGATAGGACATTCAAACCTCAGTGTCTGTACAAAAAGTTTTAATGATACACACAGCCATACTCCATCTCTTATGTATTATCTGTGCCTAATACTTTCATACTTCAACACCGAGTTGGGTAGTTGTGACAAAGACCATATATATGGCTGGTACAACCCAAAATACTTCCTACTTAGCCCTTTACAGAAACAGTTGGCTAACCCTGGTCTAGAGTGATAAATCCCTTCTAAAGTCATCTGCAAACCCACTCATTTATAGCCGAGGAAATTGAGGCTGGAGAAGTGAAGCGAGCCTCCCAGTCATAGGTGTGGACTGGGAGGAAGGAGGAGGAGGACTGTATGGAGACTTGGGACCGTCATGTGCTGGACAACTGGATAGCAGTGCTCATGCAGCCTATCCGGGTTTCCTCTGCCTGTCTGGAGCCTTGGCTATTGAGTATAACTACTGTAGAGTGTTTTCATAAATCAAGTAAATTATACAAAACAGAATAGATAAAACCCTACCTATGTTCTGTAGCCTTAATACAGAACCACTCCTGGATTCATAATTGGATGTTTCCTTATAATCCTTTTTTTCTCCATAAATGTGTATGATGAATACACATACATATGTCCCTTTATACATGTTTAATCAGAATTGGGAGTTTAATTCCTTTCCCACTTTGGCATAGTGCCATCATCGTTCATTCCTTGATCGTTTCAGCAAATGTGAGTTGTCAAGAGAGTACAGGCCCTGTTTTGGAGAGGGTGGAGGGAGGCCATTTGCAATAGTTCTGGAGAGATTTGTCAAGTCGGACCAAAGGCAGAGGAGGAGGAAACGCTGGGGAATTTTGAAGGGTGTTCAGGACAGTGAGCAGTGACTAATTAGATACGGTAAGTAAGGTTTTTAGGAAACGAAGGTGGTGCCCTTTGCTGAGATAATAAATATCAACAGAGAAGTTGGTTTGAGACTTATACTGGGTCTAGGACATTCACCTCAAGTGTCAGATGCAAGCAGATGAGACAGGAGATTGGGAATGTCCCTCATGAAGGCAAGGAGCCCTGGTGGCACAGTGGTTAAGCGCTTGGTGGCTAACCAAAAGGTCAAGGTTTGAACCCACCAGCTAGCTGCTCTGCAGAACAAAGATGTGGCAGTTGGCTTCCACCAAGGTTAGCGAGTGGAAACCCCATGGAGCAGTTGTCCACTGTCTTCCAGGGCCTCTGCGAATTGACTGAATTTAACTGCAGCATGTTTGCTTTTCTGGTTTTCTCATAAAGGCAGGTAACTGGAGGGGCAACAGGTCAAACAAGATGGCAGGCCTGCCTGGGGACACTGGTACCTCAGCGGAAGGCAAAGGAGGAGGTTCTCAGTAAAAAAGACCGAGAAAGAGTAATTGAAGAGATAGGAGAGACAGAGGGAAGGTGACTCAGAACCCTGTGAAGATGATTTCAGGGAAGGACCCCATTCCTGGCGTCAGGAGTCAGACAGACCTGGGCCCTGGTCCTGGCCCCACTGTGTGCTGGTTTGTGACCATGGGCATGGCATGTTCCTTAACCTCTGAGGCTCTCTTTCCAAAAGATGGAGCGGTTTCAGTGTCGAATGCTGCAGAGTGCTATGGCAGGATGAGGGCCTCTAGACTTAGAGCACATTGAGGACAGGCAGGTTTCTTCTTGGTGCCCTGGTGCTGGGCCCTCAGGAGTCTGAGCCTGTGGTACCCAGGAAGGGACTGCTGGTCTCAGGGGGAGGGAAGATGAGGGGAGGAAGTAGAGGAGACTTTGAGTGTTCTGTCTATGTGGCCCCTCACCCCTCACTGCTCATCTTCAGATGCTGCCACCCCAACATCTTACCCCTGCTTGGCTTCTTCTCTGGAAGACAGTTTCACGGTTTAATCCACCCCTACATGGCAAACGGCTCTTTACAGGATAGACTCCAGGATCCGGTAAGGAATGGGTCATGGTCAGAGAACAGTACCTGGGTAGGGAATTTAGGGCTGAGGACTTACAGGAGCTCAGAGGGGAGCGGGCCATCCAGGAAGACCAAGGAGGGCTCAAGGAGAAGTTAGGCCCGATAGAGAAGATCTGATAAACATCCTCAGAGAAAAACTCACAGTTTTCTTTGACAAGAGGCATTTTATTCAAGGTAAGAACAAAACAAGGGTCTCCCACTGCTTTTATTCAACATTGTTCTGCAAGTCTTAGCCACTGCAGTTTTTGTTGTTGTTAAGTGCCGTCAAGTCAGTTATGACTCATAGCAACCCTCTATAGGGTTGTTGAGCGGCTAGTAAGCTTGAACTGCCAACATTGAGGTTCAAGCTGACTTTGGAGCCCAGTGCATGAACTAAACCTTAAAAATTGTGGAAAAATAGAGGCAAAATTTTATTGTAAAGTGTTATTTCATATATATATATATATATATATATATACATACACACAAACATACATATTCATATAATGTAATGTTATTCAGTCATAAAGAAAAATGAAGTTCAAGTACATGCTAATAGCATGGATGAACCTGAAAACGTGATACTAGGCAAATACACAGAGATAAAAGTTGATTAGTGGTTTCCAGGATCTTGAGGAAGGAGGAAATGTGGTCGTAGTGGTGGTGATATGCCATGGAGTTGGTTCTGACTCATAGCAACCCTGCGTAGGGTTTCTGAGGCTGCAAATCTTTATGGGAGCAGAAAGCCTCATCTTTCTCCTGCGAAATGGCTGGTAGTTTTGAACTGCTGACCTTGAGGTTAGCAGCCTGACTCATAACCACTGTGCTACCAGAGCTCCTTATATAGCATATCAATGTAATACTTACTAAAAGATGACCATTTTAAAACAAACAGACCCCCTCTCCATAAAATTCTCAACCAGAGGGAAGTTAACGCCACAAAAGAATGATTGCTTCAGTGGCAGGGACCAGACAGAGCTGCTTTTCCTGGTGTGATGCTGATTGCCAGCTGTTCTGAGTTTTCACTCTGCACCTCTTTCCCCATGCCTCTCCTTTAGTCCTCACTACAGCCCAAGAGGGTTCCTCATGCCCCAAAGAGGAGTCGCTGGTACACGGGAGGGAAAGTGACTTGCCCAAAAGAAACACAACTGAGAAATGCCAGGGTTTGAATTGGGTTGTCCGACTCCAGATCTCTTGGTGTTTAAGGAAAAAAAAAATGATTAAGGGGTTCTCAGGACCAGTTCTTATAGGATGGGGGCCCTAAGACAGGTGATTTAGCCTGGAAGGATTCCATTCCAGAATGACTGCCGCAGTACCCGGGAACAGTGGGGGAGTCTTCAGCCCACCCCACAGTCTCCATCAGCCCTTGTGAAGTCTGCCTAGATACGTATAAAGCCCTGCTGTGCAAACACAAGCTGCTCCTCAGCCCCATATATGTACACAGTCCAAAGCTGCCACTGGACCCATCATCATCATCAAAATTTGTTGTTGTTGTTTAGTGCCATTGAGTCAATTCCAACCCATAGCGACCCTGTATAGGGTTTCCAAGGAGCGACTGGTGAGCTTGAACCGCCAACCTTGCAGTTCAAATGGCTTTGCAGTCTGGGGCATTAACCCACAGCGCCACACCAGGACTCCCATAATAGAAATATCTACCGCTTATTGTAAGGTTAAGGACTCTGGTAGCGTAGAGGTTACGAATTGGGCTGCTAACTTCAGGGTCAGCAGTTCGAAACTACCAGCTTTTCCTCAGGAGAAAGATGAGGCTTTCTGCTCCTGTAAAGATTTACAGCCTTGGAAACCCTGTACATGGTTGCGCTATGAGTCGGAACCAACTTCACAGCACGTAACAACAACAACAACCATTGTAAGGTTGGCAGTTTAAACCCACTAGCCACTCTGCAGGTGAAAGATGATCCCGTCTGCTCCAGTAAAGATGTGCAGCCTCAGAAGCCCTATAGAGGGTCGCTATGAGTAGGAATTAACTCGATGGCAGTGGATTCACTTTTCTTTGTTTGTTTATTCTGAGGCAGATGCTATTGTCCCTTGGTGTATACTCCCTATCCTTAAATCTTTACAGCAACACTAATATGTGGGGATTCGTGTTTCCATTTTATACATGAGGAATCTCAGGTTCAGAGTCACACAGCTAATGCAATTAGTACAGCCCTGAAATCCAGGGACTGATACCTGGATTTGTCTGATGTCTTGTGGCAGAGGACAGAAGGGCAGGAGGAGAGCTAGGAGCCAAGCTGTCCTCTTAAAAAGGCCCAGGTGTGAGTCTGGCTCTCTGTCTTTTTTCCTTTCCCGCAGAGCGACTCAGACTCCCTGCCCTGGCCCCTGCGTGTCAGCATCTGCTCAGGGCTGCTCCGTGCCGTGGGGCACCTACATGGCCTGGAGATCATCCACAGCAATGTCAAGAGGTGAGAGCCAGCTGGACACCTCCAGGCCTGGGCCACACTCCCGAGTCCTCTCCCTCGCCCTCTCTCTCTGCCTTTGGGTGTCGCTTTCAATGTCTAGATTGTGCTCCATCTCTGAGTGCCTGTTGCCATGCTTGTCTTTCTGAGTAGCGTTTTCTCCACAAGCACCCAACTACCCCAGTGTTCCAGACCTGTCCCCAACTCATGTGCCTGTTGGTAAAAGTGGTCCTGTGTCAGGGAGGCTCCTGCAGGTTAGGCGTGCACCCCAGCACCGTGTTCTGGCCACCCTCCTGGGCCTGACCACAGGAGATACTGGCAAATCTGGCCAAACTGGTTGCAGAACCATAGAACTCAATGTGGAAGCTCTTTTCCTCTTCTAATTCCCATGATTTTTATTTTATTAAACAATTATAATAGCAAGACAGGATATGAAAGGATCACATGATCCCATTACTCTGTCCATCAGCTGACCTCTACTGGTCTCCTTTTTCCAATCCCTGAACACAGAAAACTCATAGCCCAAAGGTAGAGTGGCCACAAAGTCATGTTCTGTCTCCCATTTCATTTTACCCCCAGCTTTATTTAAACATGGTAAACTTTTTGCATGTTGCATAATCATTTTTAGGAACTCCTTAGTATTCCCTTGTGGGGATGTGCCCACAATTCACATAACCACTCCCAGCGTGGCTGTAAGTCCTTGGGTGATGCAAACGAAAAGGTTTGCTCTCAGGTACTAACTGAAACATACCTGTGGAAGAAAAATCAGGTGGTTGACTTCTGTAAAGATTACAGCCAATATCACGCTGAGATATCCTTTATATTTGGAACTGAATCCACTCCCCAAGTTTACCTTTCAGCCAAGTAATAAATTGGTTCATTAAAGAAAAATAAGTATCATTCATGAATACTATGCTCCTTTTAAATAATCATCTATATGAGACTGGTGGTGGTGGTGGTGGTGGTTATGTGCGTGGAATTGTTTCCAACTCATAGCGACCCTGTACAGAGTTTCTGAGGCTGTAAATCTTTATGGGAGCAGAAAGCCTCATCTTTCTCCCACAGAACCGCTGGTAGTTTTGAACTGCTGACCTTGAGATTAGCAGCCTGATTTATAACCACTATGCTACCAGAGCTCCTTATGTGAGACTAGACGGTCAATATTTATCCTAAAGCCAAGTTGAGATAGTCAAGGGTGGGGGGTAAGGAAGCTAGACTAAAGGAAACAGAACAACCAGAATGGGAATCAGAAGAATGCTGATAGACTCTGAACAAAGTAACAAATGACACTGACTATGTGTAGAAATTATTAAAGGGGGCACTAATTTGCTGTGTAAACTTTAACCAAAAAAAAAAAAAAAAAAAGATACAGCCAAGCCAACCCCATGGAGCTCAGTTCTCTAACATGTGGGGTCACCCTCAGTCAGAACTGACTCAGTGACAGTGGGGTTTTTGTGTGTTGATTTTGATCCCTATTGGTATTGGTGTTTACTTTCTAAATTTGGAGTTAGTTCTATATTGAATACTTTTGCACATGAAGCTCTCTTCTTTTTTTGGAGTATGTGCTTTCTGAGAGTTAACTCACAAGAGGTTAGGTGTCTGGGTCAAAGAGTATTTTCATTGTTTGTTTAATCTCTCCTGATCCAGGCCAGTTCAGTCACAAAGGACAACCTACTTAGATTAGAATCAGCTGGCCAGGGCTGGGGGTTGGAGCTGCTTTGGAAGAGGTCTACCCAACACAAACTATTGAGCTCAGCAGGCTGAGGTGGGTCAAGGTTGACATCTGAGTGAGTCACACTTCCTGGGGCAGCAAGACTAGTTCTTAAGCCCTCTCCTCATTTACTGGTTGAGGTGGGCTCCCTGCCCCCACTGCCTCTGACAGATCTGGCTCAGAGTCTCCATGGTGAGGGCTTTCAGTGACCCCAGTTTGCAGAGGCTGACATTGCTCACTACTAAATTGTTTTCCAGAAGGATCGCATGGTAACATCCTCTTGTCCAGTTCCAAATGAGAGGGTTCTCTTCACTTTCTCTTCTGCAGTTCCAACGTTTTGCTAGACCAGAACTTCACACCCAAGCTGGCGCATCCAATGGCTCACGTGTGTCCTGTTAACAAAAGGTCAAAATACACCATGATGAAAACCCACCTTTTCCAGGCCTCAGCTGCGTACCTGCCAGAGGATTTCATCAGAGTGGGGCAGCTGACCAAACGAGTCGACATCTTCAGCTGTGGAATAGTAAGAGCTGCTTTCTGTGGGTAGTCTTGGGCCTGCATTCTGTTGTCATTCCCAGGGCTCCTTTATAAGCACAGGGAACACAGATGGGTTCCAGCAAAGTACAGCAGGTGTTGGCCACACCTGGCCCATGGCTTGTTTGGTATGGCTTAGGAGTGAAGAGTGGTTTTTACACTTTTAGAAGGTTGCTCCTCATCTGGAGGATTCCTGTTCAGAGTACTGGTGTGGCGCTGTGGGTTAATGCGCTGGACTACAAAGTCGGTTTGAACTGTCGGTGGCGGTTCACGCTCACCAGCTGCTCCTCGGAAACCTTATACAGGGTTACTATGGGTCTGAACGGACTCAACAGTACTTAGCAACAACCATAAAACCCAAACAAAAAAGAATACAGAGACTGTATGCTAATCACAAAGCCAAAAATATTTACTCTCTGGCCTGTTACCCAAGAGATTTACTGACCATTGAAATGAGTGTCCAGAGTCCATCAGACTAAGGTATCTTCCCTGAGAGTTAACTCACAAGAGGTTAGGTGTTGTACAGGGTTCACTATCGGTCATAACCTGCCTTCACTGATTCTCATCCAGCTGGCCATCTAATTGTTTGTCTAATTGCCTGTTTGTCTTGTGTTTTTACGTCAATCTGTCTATCCAGTCCTCTGTCCATCAGTCCATCCATCCACCCCATTCCATCTAGTCACTCATCCATTATCTACCCACCCACTCTCATCCGTTCCATTCGTCCATCCATTCCATCTAGCCATCTGCCCAATAGCCCTCCCTCCACCTCCACCCCTCACTATCTTGTCCTTTCCGTCCCTAAACAAAAGCATCTCCCCTCTCTCCAGGAGCACTTGGTCCAGTGTTGCAGTCTCCAAAGCATATTTCTGTAGAAACAACACTTTCTTAGGATCACTCTAGGTTTGAGTGTAGGACTGAGTGTGCAGGTCAATTTGGGGAGCATCGGGTTAAGCAAAGTCAAGCCTATCCCTTTACTACAGGATGAACCAGAGCCTTTTATTTTTTTTTAAGTATTCAACAGACAATTTTATTTTAGTTCCTTTTCATAATATGTGCACATGAAATGAGATTGTGTACCATAAATGAAATTCTATGTAGAGATCTTTGTAATCATATAAAATAGTTTAAGTTAAGCTTTATTCTTGTATTGTAAATAAGGCAAGTGAAATGTAGACTCACAACTATACAAGATTTTTAGGTGATTCCTGGTAGTTGTATGATGAGAAACAATGAATATCAAATTTTTGATGTGATCCAGAGCCTTTAATGTGGTGATAAACATTGAAAAGTCACCAAAAACAAAAAAAACAAAAAAAAACCCAACCCCCAAACCCACTTCCTTCAAGTTGGTTCCAACTCATAATGACCCTACCACACAGAGGAGAACTAACTGTGCCTTATGGTTTCTGAGACAAAATCTTTACAGGAACAGACAGCCTCTTCCTGTAAGGCTTCTCCCTTGGAGCAGCTGGTGGGTTTGAATTGCTGGCCTGTGGTTAGCAAGCCAACACTTACCCCACTGCCCCAACCAGGCCTCACCAAGGGAAGAAAATCAGTATGTAAAGCTTCCCAAACTCATTTGACTATGGATCCTTGTTTTCTTAGTGTATCTCTCAGCACAAGTGTCCCATGGAACCCATTTTGAGAAATGCTGGCTAAAAAAAAGTAAACAGACTGTGGTTCACCTCAGCTAAGGCCAGACAGCGATACCTCTCTTCTTCCCTAGCCTTGGACTATGCACTTCCTCTCTCTGACCACAAACTCCTGCCTTCTACCCCTTCCATAGTGCCTGGCCCTAGCACCTTCTGCCTTCACCCCAACCTCCACTCTGCATTCTGGTTCCTTGCCTGCCCCCTCATCCCCACTGTGGGTGCTCAGTGAGGTTCCTGCTCCTTTCTGAACCAGTGGGCTGTCTCTGGAGGCTACTAGGGTGTGGGTCCCAGCTCAGTTACTTTCAGCTACGGGACCTAGGATGTCTGTCCACTACTCGGGGCCTCAGTTTTGCCTTCTGTTAGAAGGGCACACTGATATGTATGGAGATGAATGAGGCAGTGCATATAAATGGGTTAAGATTACCCTTCCTGCCTCTATAGCCTCACTCCCTGTGTCTGTTTACTCTCACTTTCTAAGGAGTCCTCGTGGTCTAGTGGTTAAGTGCCCAACTGCTAACTGAAAGGTCAGCAATTTGAACCCACTTGTTTCCATGGCCTTGGGAATCGTGTGGGGGCAATTCTTCCGTGTTGTACAGGGTTCACTATCGGTCATAACCAGCTGGATGGCAGTGAGTGGGTTTGTTTATCTTTCTCTTGACTTTCTAACTCAGCTCTTGGTGTCACAGATGACTTCCCCATGAGTGAAAAGTTCATTCATTCCAATCAGGGCTCACAGGTTCCCTTTTCTCAGCCCTTCCACTAACTGTTGTTGTTGTTGTTAAGTGCCGTCGAGTCGGTGCCGACCCATAGCGACCCTGTACAGGGTTTCCGAGGGTGTAAATCCTTACGGGAGTAGAAAGCCTCATCTTTCTCCCGCGGAGCGTCTGGTAGTTTCGAACCGCTGACCTTAAGGTTCGCAGCCCGATTCGTAACCACTACGCTACCAGAGCAGAATGTTTTTTAACTTTGGTCCCTTCTGTGGGGATAATGCATTTCTCTGTTTTCTGGTCAGCACTAAATGATCTGTTGTTGATATCACATGCCATTGAGTTGGTTCCTACTCACAGCGACTCTGTATTGTGTTTCTGAAGAGCAGATGGCGGGTTTGAATCGCCAACCTTGCATTGCTGATCTGACAGTGCCACACCATGACGCCAGTAAATGACCTGACCTCTGTAAAATGACTCAACACCACGCCTGCAGTGAGGAAGGAACAGTGGAAAAGCCAGATTGTTCGTTTCCTTTTCTTCCCTTCCTTCCCAGCAGATCTGGTCCAGGAGTCCCTTTCTATTGGCTCCACTCAATTGCTGCAGTAGTGCTCTCTGGTGCCCCCGCCTGGCCTTTGCCCACTTAACAGCACACAGAAATAACAAACATTTTGACTTGTCTCAAGAGAGGTTTGTGGGAGAGAGATATGACACTAAGGGTGAGGTATTTGTAATGAACAACTTAACAGATGAGAACACTGATGAGATTTTAAGTCACTTGCCTAAAGAGCACAAATGAGCATATAAAGAACAGACAGAATTTGAATCCAGGGCTTTCTGACCCTCAGATTCTAAACCCTGAGCTTTGAGAATTTTTGTTCAAAGTGTTTCCCCCATTTATTAATGCCCAGAAAGAGCCAGCGCATATTCAACTCTTTATAATTGTGTGATGGTTTATAAGAAGTCTTGGCGGTGGACTTCCGGCAAGATTGCAGACTAGGCAGACACACTCTACGGATCGTCTACACCAAAGATATGAGAGACAAAATAAAACAGACTCAGATGAAAACTCTGGCACCCTGAACCTCAGAAGAAAGATTAGAGAGCTGGGTGAAGTGTTTGCTGGGAGCAGGGATGACCGGAGAGGGAGACAGACTGGTGAACAGCTGGCCAGATGCAACTCAACTATCTTGTGAGCAGCTTTGGCACCGGAAGAATGCCTGGCAAAGTAGATTCATGCAGACAAGTGTGGTTTCTTCTTTTTCTCCCATGCTCCCTTGTGACCAGAGGTGTGGCCAGCTCCCACCCTCATCCATCCCCAGTGTACACCCTGTTTTCCAATAGTTCAGAGCCATGTGGTTGGGAGCCACACCAGTGTGTGTGTTGGGGGGGGAGGGGGGCAGCTGGTCACTTTGTTCCCCTTTGGAGCCTGGATTCAGGTGGGCTTGGCTCCAGACCTACAAAACCCACAGAGCCACCAGACCAGCATTTAACCAGTCACTCTGCCGTCAGCTGCCCTGTGGTCCTAACAGACACTGAAACCAACTCCATTAGGGAGGGCCCCCACGAACTACTATTGGATTGCGTGCCCTGAACATAGATAACATTGAGGCCAACAGGAACTCCATTAGGGCCAGGAACTCTGCTGTCACATCCCTTCCACAAACACCTCGTGAGCTCCTTGAATCACAGGAGCCCACTGAGCACTGAGAGGTTTCTCCCCTCCAAGTCTAACAACTGCCCTGTTTGTTTTTACAAATATGACAACCATACAGTGCCCCGGAGATAACAGACAATTTTAGCGTACACCAAGAAACAAGAGAGAATGGCTTAAACAAATGAACACGATGTGAAGTCAGAAAACATTTCTGAGGAAGAAAAGGTAATGGAACTAACTGAAAAAGGTTTTAAAAGAATGATAATTAGGATTGATAGAAAGATCAAGGAAAGCAAGAAGAACACAATAAAAACTTTAGAAGAATTCAGGAAACACGACAAGAACAAACAAAGTAAATGTAAATTTTGAAATAATATAAGACTGCAATTAGAAATCCAGAAGATTAATACTAAGACCTCAGAAATGGACAATGCATTGGAAGGGCAAATAAATAGATGTGAAGTAATGGAAGCCCGAATTAGTGAGCTTGAAGAGAAGTCTCAATACTAGTATGCTAGAAGAACAATCAGAAAAAAGAATGAAAAAAATCTGAAGAAAGCCTGAGAGCTATGTGGGACCTGATGAAGAGGAACAACTCAAAAGAGACAAGCATAGAGAAAATTTTCCGAGTTGTTGGAAGAAGACTTCCCCTGACATCATGAAAGATGTGAATATAAGCATACAAGAAGCTGAATGAACCCCAAACAGGATAGGTCCCCAAAGAAAATCACCAAGACATATCATCATCAAACTGTCTGTTTAAAATCAAAGATAAGGAAGGAATCCTGAGAACAGCTCAGGAAAAATGAAAAGTTACCTATAAAGAAGAATCAATAAGATTAAACTCTAATTTCACAGCAGAAACCATGCAGGCAAGAAGGCAATGGAGCCCAGGAGACATCAAGGCAAGTGGTCGGGTC